TCAGGCAATTCTCCTGCCTCAGCCTCCCAAGTAGCTGGGATTACAGGCACGCGCCACCATGCCCAGATAATTTTTTGTATTTTTAGTAGAGACGGGGTTTCACCATGTTGACCAGCATTGTCTCGATCTCTTGACCTCGTGATCCACCCGCCTCGGCCTCCCAAAGTGCTGGGATTACAGGCTTGAGCCACCGCGCCCGGCCGATTTAATACAGATTCTAAGCTATGCGAGAAATGGGACTTTTCAAAGTTACGACTTGATTTTTTCCTTTTCAGCTGGTACTCCTGGTTAATCAACAGTTTTGTCAACGGTGAGTTCTTGTGCTTCCCTGCCTCAGCCGCGGTGTTTATAGCAGGTGCCACCTTAATTGCTCTTGCATTGAGCCCAGTGTGGCAGACGCCCCTGTGATTCAAGGTTAATCCCTCCCCATCCCGGGGGTTCAGGCACCTCTGCAGTGCCCAGGGCTCCCCCAGGCTGTGAGCAGATAAAGCCCTGCGTGGCTTCAGAACACTGACTGGTTCTGAGAAACAGGTCCTCGTACAGCGGGGGGAGTGCTCCTAGACCCAGATGCTGCAGCCACTCCACGCCAGCCCGTGCGGTGCAGCCAGCCTGGCACATGTGGTGCATCTCAGATCAAAACATCGTCGTGCGGTGCGGGACTGTTGTCTGTTTTCTTCATGAAAACGAACTTAAGCATTAAAACACCATCATCCCCATCTGGTTCCTTAGAGCAAGTGGAAGCACCAGGCCTGGTGCACGGCATCCTGCCGATGCGCTGTGGAAACCCCCACGGGGCCCTGGGAGGCCCACCCGCCCCCACCTGCCCCACCAGACCAGCCCGATTGCAGCTTTGTGGTCTCTTTGGGAAGTGGTCTCATGAGCATTAAGGGCGAGGGCCTGTCTGCTGCAGAGCAGGTGGCTCCCAGACTGCCATCCTCCTGGGCGAGAGTCCCACATTTGACCCCTGGGATGAGAGCTTGCGGGTCAGGAGGCTATGTCCTCACAGCCCCAGGGTGCTCCAGTGCCCACACTCACTCGACCCCACGGACAGCAGTTACACCAATTAGTAAATAAAAGAGCTTTGCTCTCCAAAGTGGTCGTAGACTCTTGATAAACTTCCCAGCCAGAGAGCTGCTTCACATGAGGAACTCTGAAGTTGTCCGGGTAGCAGGCCTTGTTTTCTGCCCGCTCTGCGTGGACGTGGCAGCCCGGCCCTCCACGCCCATGAGTGTTGTCTGTCTTTCTGCAGGGGTCTATGCCTTCGGCTTCCTCTTCATGCTGCCCCAGCTCTTTGTGAACTACAAGGTAAGGCAGTGCGTGCTGCCCGTGGCCCCTTCTCCCGTGCTGCCCGCGCCCCTTCTCCCGTGCTGCCCGCGCCCCTTCTCCCGTGCTGCCCGCGCCCCTTCTCCCGTGCTGCCCGCGACCCTTCTCCCGTGCTGCCCGTGCTGCCCGCGACCCTTCTGTGCTGCCCGCGCCCCTTCTGTGCTGCCCGCGGCCCCTTCTCCCGTGCTGCCCGTGGCCCATGCTGCCCACAGCCCCTTCTCCCGTGCTGCCCACGCCCCTTCTCCCGTGCTGCCCGCAGCTGACCTGCGCCTGTCTCTCCTGTTTCAGTTGAAGTCGGTGGCACATCTGCCCTGGAAGGCCTTCACCTACAAAGTGAGTGCGACAGCTGTTGTGGAGTTCCTTCTCCTCACTGAGCAGAGCGTGAGCAAGGGCATCTTCCAGCAACAGCATTGCAGGGGTACCTCTGCCCAGAGTGCCTCTGCGGCCATCCCTGTCACTGAAAAATAATGAGGAGGATCGTTTACAAACAGGGAGGAGCCGTCGAATAACTTCAGACCGGAAAGGCTGTGCTCTCTCACTTGGAGCCACAGATTCAGTTTTCTTTTTAGTTTTTATGTTTCTTTATAGCAAGTGTGTCAAGACACAGACCTCCTGTGGCCCAGTAGCCAGTGCCTGGGGAGCGTGGATTCAGGCCCCCCAGGCAGGAATCAAGTCCCATGGGTTGTGGCCATTCCCCGCTGCAGAGCTGTGGAGGCCCCTTTGGCTCCGTGGGATTAGAAGTGCTTAGTGTTGTGGGCAGAGCTGAGTTAATGCGGCGGGATTCTGACTTTTCTGAAGTCAGTTACGCTCCAGAGGAAAGGGCCGTGCCCAGGCGGTCAGGCGGCTCTGCCCTCGGCTCTGGTTTCAGGCCCTGCTCTTTGGGCTCCCCGATGCGGGCGCCTGGACGGAGCCCGTGGGTGTCGGGTGCTCATGGCTGGGGGGAGCCCATGAGGGAGCAAAGGGCCTCTTCAGTTGCCCATTTTCTACTCTTTTTGGGAGGATTCCAGTTAGAATTATCTGCCAAAAGCTGTTTGCTTGGTTAGGTCACCAAAAACAATAGGGTTCCATCCCCAACAACTGGGGCTCTCCCTTCTCCCGTCTGGCCCTGCAGGCTTTCAACACCTTCATTGACGACGTCTTTGCCTTCATCATCACCATGCCCACGTCTCACCGGCTGGCCTGCTTCCGGGACGACGTGGTGTTTCTGGTCTACCTGTACCAGCGGTGGTGAGTGCGCTCGGCTCTTGGGCCGTCTCGGCGGCGCGGCCCTGCTGCTGAATGGACGGCGCCTGTTTGCATTTGGGGAGAAAGATGATTTGCAGGTGGTGGTTTTTCCTGTGTTGCCTGAACTTGGGCTCCAATTGCCCGTGATGCGACGTGGCGAGAAACTTCCAGCTCTGTCTCCTCGCTGTGCTTCAGAAATTTGAGTTCCTATATGAATTATTGATTAGCCGCTGAAGCAGATTTCTCCCTTTAAGCTGTTCAGCTGTTCACTGCCATCGCTATTGAGCAGAACAGAAACCGTAGCACGGCTTAACTCTCATGCATGCCTGGTGCCAGCCTCGAGGTGTCCAGCGGCTGTCCTGGGGCCCAGGTCTCCAGCGTCGGAAGCAGGCTCCGGGCCGCTCTTGGGCCGTGTGTCCTTGCAGGGCAGAACATCACTAGAGAACTTGCTCACACCCCTCAAACCAGCCACCAGGGCCTCTGAAGACTAAATTGAGTGGACCTCCCAGCTTGGCCTTCAGGTTGAGGCTGACAGCTGTGCAGAGGCTCAGGCCCTACCCCAGGCCTCCCACTTCTCCTCCAGGGCTGATGTCTGACCTCTGTCAGCAAAAGCTGCCTCCAGCTCTGTGCCTTGCCAGTGGTAGGGGCCAAGGATCTGGGGTGTCTCTTGGGCAGGGCTCACCTTGGGAATGGTGAATCCCAACCCCCGAAGGCACTGCCCCCACCTCCAGTCCCGGCCCAGGGTATTGTTCAGGGGTGGAAGGAGTGAGTGTCACCCCCAATGCCTGCTACCATGTGTTTCAGAGCCTCTTGGTTGTGTCCTTTCTCTGGCCCTCAAGGTTCCCTCTTCCATCTCCCACACCAGGAGGCTACCACTGACCCACCGTGGCCGTGGCACTTCCCTGCACCCTTCCCAGGCCATGGCTCCCTGGGGCCGTTCTACTAGTGCAGGAGGGGGATGCTCTTCCCCCAGCCTGTCCTGGCTGGTCCTGCCTAGGTCTGGGGTGCCATCCCTTGGGGAGCACAGGGCTCCCATCCCCTCCCTATTTCCCCGCGCAGCCTCACCACATGGCTTGCAACCCCTGTCCCAGCCAGCGTGCGGCTGGCATTGTTCTGTTTGTTTTAACCCCGTGTCCAGGTACATCCACACGGTGGTGCATGGCGGCCCTCTTGCCTAGCTCTCCAGGCCTGGCAGCCGGCCGCCAACTCACCCACCCCCCACCAACCCCTTTACTATCTCGTGGGGGCCCAGGCCTGTGTCTCAGCAGGAAGGGCTATTTCCCCATCAGCAGCTCTCACACAGGGCGTGGCTCTGGTCCCCCGTTCGCCCTTCTCAGATCCCTCAGGTTGTCCGAGCCGCGGAGCCCTGGACGCTGCTGCACCTGCAGTGGTGGTCACTCTTCAGGGCCCCGTCTCAACCAGAGCCCTTCACAGGTGGCCCAGGGCCTGCCTGAAACTGCCACGCTCAGGCTCTGTGTGTTTCAGGCTCCAGGCCTGCAAACAGTGTTTGGCCAGGACCACAGGGCCCTTTGTGGGCAGCAGGTCTGTTTTGAAGCGGAAACCCTGTAGTTGTGCTGTCCGTGGCTGTGCAGAGCTGCCTGTGCCCTTCACACCACAGCTGCTTCGTCCATAAGCAGGGGTCTATTGGCAAGGCCTCTGGGCCTCTCGGGATCAGAGGCCGCTGTGCCTTGCCAGGCGTTCACAGCTGATGAGACGGTCCCTGAACGTGGCAGTTCCTGTTCTGATCACGGGTCTTCGTGGCTGCACCGTTCACAGAAGGCAGACAGTGCAGCCTCCGGGTCGCCCTTCAGCCAGGCTCCCCTTTCCATGAGAGCAGGCTGAATGAAACACAGCTCAGAATCCCCTCCTCAGCCTGTCGGCAGTAAACGTTCTGCGGATTCGGCCTTTTCATTGATTTGCTCGCTGTGGCAGCTTACTGGAAAACGAGTCAAGCACACGCGCCCTCCTCTTAGGTTATAGGTAACTCCCGCGGTGGGGTGTGCTGCTGATTTGCTCGTGGGTGTCATTGCAGGCTTTATCCTGTGGATAAACGCAGAGTGAACGAGTTCGGGGAGTCCTATGAGGAGGCCACGCGGACGCCGCACGCAGACTGAAGGCCACCCACCCTTGGGGCAGGTGTACCTGGAATTGTCAGTGAGTGTTTTTGGAAGCATCTGGCAGAATTCCTAGACGCTGCATCTTCTGTGTTGCCAAAATCCCTTTGGACGTTGCCCAGACCCCTCCCAGGTTCCCTTCACGTCATCAGATTTGGAGCTGGATGTGCTTATGATGCCCCCTCTCCCCGCCACGTGTGAACGAACATCTGTCTCGGTCACCGAGCTGGGCGCTGCCAGTCACCCTGAGCTATGGTGGCTCCCGGCACGTGAGTGTCCAGTGGGGGTCAGCCGTGTCCTCATGCTGGCAGGCGCGGGAGCCCTCACAGGCAGTGGGGTTGTCGGATTTCCATTTCAGGTGGTTTTTAAGTGCTCCTTATGTGACTTTCAGACACGTATGGAATTCATTCCGTGTGGACTCTGGGATCAAAGGCTCTTTCCTCTTTTGTTTGAGAGTTGATTGTTTTAAAGCTTAATGTATGTATGTTTCTATTTTAAAATAAATTTTTCTGGCTGTGGCATTTTTCTTGACCTGGTATTAATAATGGAAAGTATTTCCGATGTTTGAGTTTAACGCTTCTCCAGAAAGTAATACATAATATGGATTTATTTATGCATTAAAAGAGAAATTTAAAGAGCCTCTCCCGAGCCCTTGAGTCATGAGTGTTCTTAGATCCTTGGCGTCTCAGTTACTTAAGACTAAATGGTCATGCAGAGTCGTGACCGTGAGGTCAAGCCTGTCTTGCCCTAGGTAGAGGCAGAGGAGGAAATGAGGTAGAAAGGTGTGTTTTCAAAGACAGTGGAGAATACAGGACCGGTGCGCAGCGAGCTTCAATCATGTTCACTGAAGTCAGTTTTTGTGGGATATTTTTCCCCAGCTCACTGCAGCCTCCACCTCCCACGTTCACATGATTCTCCTGCCTCAGCCTCCCAAGTAGCTGGGACTACAGGTGTGTGCCACCACATCCAGCTTTTTTGTATTATTTTTAGTAGAGACACTGTTTCACCATGTTGGCCAGGCTGGTCTCGAACTCCTGGCCTCAAGTCATCCACCCGCCTTGGCCTTTCAAAGTGCTGGGAGTACAGGCGTGAGCTGCCGCGCCCATCCTCTAAATACAGACTCTTTATATTCCTGGCCCTTTCCTTGCTCTGAGCCTCCTTTGGCGTTAACAGAGCTTTCATCCTCGTGTTTCTGGAACACGAGGGCCTCTCGTGGGCCTGGCTTCCTCGCAGCTGAGGGGCTTCAGGAACCCTGCCCACAGCCCCGAACCTGCAGGAGGTCTGTTCCACGTGTCCCACTTAAACGGATGAGCCACACAATTGCAGGATGCTCGTTCAGCTGAGAACCAAACCCAGATGCTCTTGGGAACTGCAGGTGACAGTGATGTTTCTGTGCACTCTGCTTTCTCCTCAGATTGGATAAATCTCATTGTTTATAATGATGTCTTAAACTTCACTCAACTGGGAAGGAATGCAGTGGGTTGTCATCTTTTAGTTTTATCAATGAAAATGGGAAGATGCTGTATGAGTTGGCACAGGAAAACACATACGCATACGTGGCCCGTAATGTGTTACTTAGCCATGTAGTAAGTGGGGTCTGAGGGGGGGCTGGGAGAGCAGATGAACTGCCGGGGTTTATTAGATGCGCAGGTCTCAGACGGGAGGCACAGGACCCCAAGGGGACCTGGGGGGTGCAGGGGCGGCGGCTGGCTGCACAGGCAGGGCAGATAGGGTGGACCCTCAGGTAAATTGGAAGTGGGGAAAGAGCAGGAGGCATGAGGGGCTTCATTGGTGTGCTTGAAAGTCAGGAGGTCACAGGAGGGCTGGCCGATCGCAGGTGTGCCGGGTCACGGCGGGGGCTCAGCCAGTCTGCGGAGACGTGGAGACATCAGAGAAACAGGAAGTTTTAAACGTTCACGATGGACCTCACCCACATAGGCCGTGCCTTTGCCAGATTACTAGGGTGGGGTGTGGTGGAAGGTGTCCCTTCCACGCCTGTAACTTTATTTAAATTGTCTTTGGGGGAGGGGAGCCTCGCTGTGCTCTGTAAGGCTTCGCCTGGCGTATCCTGTTGCCAGCAGCTAAGCACACAGAAAAGGAATCTCCGATGAACTTCGGCGCCTGGCTTTGCCTGGGGGATGCTGGCTGCATCAGGTGCCATTCCCAGCATTTCTTCTGCCTCCTGGGGCACATCATGCCACGGTCAGTGCCAGTGCCCAGCTCTCGCAGAAACAGCCTCATCAGCACACGCATCAGCAGCCAAAGCCGTGCCTAACTCACAGCGGCTCTGTGGACAGCTTTGCTACTCTCGAAAGTTTCAGTATCAAAAATAGTTGCTACAAGAAAGAACTTTTTTGCCTCAGCACCTGCTCTTCCATTTGACTGGCAGGCTGAGCAAAGGTGGGTGCAGGAGCCTCATCAGCCTGACAGCAGAGTCAGCCTAACCTGTTTCCAGGAAGCACTGTGGCAGGGCCCCGGAAGGGGCAGGTGCCCGCTGCACACTGCATCTGCTCTGAAGTCGGCGCGCTGGTGTCCAGTGGCCCTCCAGGGCCATTTTCGTCCGGGCTGCACAGGGCATTATGCATGGACCAGCCGCTGCCGACTGTCAGTCTTGCTCTGTTTAAACAGTAGCAAGTTGCAGACTAGCTTTGAAGACACTGCTAGTCACGTGTGTCAGTTACTCCTGAGAGGCTGCTGGGGCGCCTGCCTCTCCCTTTTTTAAGATGAGCAGAAGTTTAAATGAGTTTGGGGAACGAGGCCTTGAAAGTCCTTCCAGCTTCAGGACCAGCGCTTGCTGACAGTCTTGACTTTCTGCCCCATGGGCCGGCACTCCTGCAAGCAGACAGTTTCAGGAGTGACCAACACTGAGCCTCAGCCAGGTCCCAGCTCACGGGAACCCTGAAGCCTCACTCCCCAACAGAGGCTCCTGCGGGGCGACTTGAAACGCACTTGAAGGATTTATCTGTCGTTCATCCTGATGAGGAATTTAGTTCTGTGTTTTTCTCTTGGATTTCCTTGATAATTCTTCATAACATCAAGGCCATGTCTTACATGATGATTATGAGGTGGGACTCAGAAATGTTCCAAATGCCTGTCGATTTTAGAATGTGTCAAAGCCCTCGAAGCTGTTGCCGGCATCTGTGACACAGATGTCTGACACGGCGAGGGCCCAGGGTCACGCACGGCAGAACGACAGCATCTGATCACAGCTGCGGGTTCTGTACCTGGGCGGGACTGGCCCTCCCAGAGCAGCCAGTGTCCAGAAGGAGCTTCTGCTGCCCCCACCTTGGCACTGACCCCTCATTGTATAGACGAGATTTTCTTTAATAACCAGGAGAAAAAAAAATTGTTAAGTTTTCTGTATTTCATAGAAGAGATTTTTATAGAAGAGGTTTTCTTCAGACCAGAGTTTATTAGCCCAGGAAAACAAGAACACGTACCCTTGTGAAATGCCTGCCGCACGTAGCCCCGTAGAAGCCAGGCTGGTGGCTGTCAGGTCTTTGGAGTGGCACCGAGATGGGTCTGTTGGCCTCGGCCCCGGGGAGCCCCGCAGGCCAGGGACCTGGAGGAAGGAGAGGGTGCAGCCCGCGATGGGTGCAACTACGGAACCCTGATGAAGCGGGGGCCGCATTCCAGGGGTGACCCATGCGGAGGAGGGAAACCAGGAGGAGCTCTTGACGGACCGCACAGTTTACTCCTTTCCTGAAGGCACAGGACCCGAGGGGACATGAAGCCCTGTGGTCCACGGTGCTTCTGAGGAAGCAGCCTACACAGAGATGCGGGTCCCGGAAAAGCCCACCGCACGAGTGTCGCCCAGCCACTGCCACAATCCCCACCGCGTCTGTGCTTCAGGCAGCATATTCTCTCACGGTTCTGAAGGCTGGAAGTCCAGACCAGGCCTCGCTGGGCACCACAGAGGTGTGAGCAGCCCGGGCCCTCGGTTTGCCGCCTCGAGAGCTGTTCTTGCATTCCCGGGCTCATGGCCCCTTCCTCACCTCTGCCTCCCAGGTCATAGCCCTGATCCTCACCCCGACCCTCCGTGGTTCCGTCAGCCCCAGCCGATTACCCAGCACCATCTCCCATCCAAGGTCCCAAGTGTGATGGTGGCCTCAGAGTCCACTCCAGCACGTAGGGTCACACCCGCGGTTCTGGGGCTGGATCCGATGTCTCTAGGGGAGGCGCCCACCTCCCCCATATCCTACTGTTTCCCTTGGTAACTTTCAGTCGTGATGTCCAAGTGGCCTCTGTCCTGCTGGCTGGACTCAGCCGGCGCACCAAGAAGCAGACATATTTTTTTTGTTTTGTTTTTGAGATGGAGTCTCATTCTGTCACCCAGGCTGGAGTGCAATGGCGCCATCTTGGCTCACTGCAAAGTCCGCCTCCCAGTTTCAAGCGATTCTCCTGCCTCAGCCTCCCAAGTAGCTGGGATTATAGGTGCTTGCCACCACGCCCAGCTAATTTTTGTATTTTTAGTAAAGACAGGGTTTCACCATGTTGGCCAGGATGGTCTCGAACTCCTGACCTCAAGTGATCCACCCGCCTCGGCCTCCCAAAGTGCTGGGATTACAGGCATGAGCTGTTGCGCCCGGCCGGCAGGCACTTTTAAAAACCTGTTATTGTGCAGTTTCCACACAGTGTCAAGGCAGGTGTGCCCTGTGCAGACCAACAGGCACTACATGCTTCACGCACAGGCACCTCGGCCCCACGGGGCCCTCAGTGAATAGCATGTGGGTGGACCCTGCCACGCGTCACTGGGTCCAGGTCCCACACATGAACGATCACCCTGGGAGCTCTGGTGCCTGGGTACTTGGGCTGGGCTCTGCCTGGTGTCCATCTGTGTGGTTGCAAGGGGTGCTCATTTGTAACTTTCTCCCATGTGGCATTCCATGGCGTGAACCGGGGCTGTTAGGGATCAGATCGTGCAGGTGGCTGTGACTGCTTTTGGGGCACAGACCCGGGGGGATGTGGCTGTCATGGTGCATGGGTGCTGAGCTCCAATACATGTCACCCGTGTCCTAAGGGGGCGGTGCCACTCAGGTGTGCACTGCGGCTGTGCGCCCCATGGCCTCACCCCTTCTCCAGCACACGGCACTGCTGTCTCTAATTTTAGCCACTCTGGTGGGTGTGTAGTGGAGTCTTTTTGAGGTTTAAATGTGCATTTCCCTGCTGCCTAGTGGCGTTGAAAACCTTGTTTCCTCACCGGCCGTGTGGGTGGCTTCTCTCTGTGGAGTGCTTGAGTTTTCTGTTTCCTGTTCCCTTCCAGTCATACCTTGCAGAGCTGATCCTGCAGGGGCCTCAGGAGGCTGCTGCGGCCACAGCGGTGAGGCTGAGCATGCTTCCTCTTTGTCTGTTATCTTAAATCACCCCTGAGGCACTTGTAGATGCAACTGATGAAACCACCTGGGCCTGTGGTTCCCTTTGTGGGAAATTTTTTTCACTACTGTTTTAATTTCTGTAACTTCTGAGATAATAATAGCATGCAGGTTTTCTATTTCCCCTGGAAATAGAAATATTTTATTATAATATTTTGT